CGGACCTCCAGGGCCGCTCGGTGCAGACGCCCCGCGCGCCCACGCCGCCTCCCCTTCCGGGTACCGCCGTGCGCGCGGCCCCCTCCCCTTACCCGAGCCTCACCGGCGGAGAGCCCGTTCCCCTCCCCTCACGCACCCCCCTCCCCTGGTGCGGCTTCTCCTCAGTGGCCTAGTGACAAGCCCTCAGCCTGGGGACAGCGACTTCTTTCTGCAGCCAGCTAGCATTTCCCCTTGTCTCCACGGCTCCCCCAAAGAAAGACCCCAGACCCATGAGCCCCCCAGGGCCTGGACGGGGCGCGCACAACCCGGTCTGCCCCCTCCCCGACCTGCTGCTCCCCCTCAGCCCGAGGCGGCCAGGCCCCGGCTCCCCTGAGAGCCTCGGGCCCAGGATGGGGTCTCCGGGCCGCGGGGCCGCTGTCAGGAAGGGAGAGGCCACCGCGGCTTGCCCTGGAGCCTGAGACCACCTCCAGTCTGGTCCGAGAGAGCCATTTTGGGTGATGTGAAAAGACACTCCTTCCTAGTCACGCCGTTTCTTCCCAGCATGTCCGTTTACCGACACTTAGGCAGGCCCTGTGCTAAACACCGCCTCCCACGCTGGCCTGGCCCCGTGGGAGGATAGGTGAGCCAGGACAGAGCCGAGAACCCCGCTAGGGAGAGCGGTGTTCCCCGTTTGGAGCCACCAGGTTGCCTCCTGTCCTTTCCACACCTGTGGGCCTAGCCTCTGCGGCGGAGCCCAGGAACCTTCATTTTAACAGCAGCCAGGAAGTGCTCAGAGGTTTGGGAGGCTTGGCCTCAGGTGGTTAGGCTCACCTGGGTGGAGAGCCTTCTCTGACCTCCTTCTAAGGAGACAGTCCCTAACCACCTTCCCAGTTGCCCCCAAACAGTTGTTCCACAGAACCACCTGCATGTTTATGAAAAATGCCAAGCTTCCTACCCAACCTCCCCTTAAGTAGAAACTCCTGGGCATTCTATTCTTAGAAGTCCAGCTGGTATTTTACTGTGTTAATGTTTTGCTAGCCCCAGGTGTGGGCTGGTTGGGCATCTTGCCCTCACCTGAGGGCAGTCCGTTTGCCGTAGTCACACCTCACCTCCCGGTGGGTCTCAATTCTTATGCTAAAATGAGCTGTCTGGGGCCCCCTGAAGTGCTCTTTTCACCTCTTGTGTTCCCACTGGAGGTTGGCTTGGGCGCCCCAGGGGCCACACCTTGTCTCAGCCCTGTGTTTGGCTTCCTCCGGCTAGGTTGTGGGAAACAGGCTTTCTAGCCTTGTTCCTTAGCTCCTCCCTCCCCGGATTTGTCCAGCCCACCAAGGGGAAGGCAGCAAAAGATAATCACAGAGTAAGTAGCCTTTACTGAGCTTCAGCTGTGTGCCAGCACTACTCCCTCCCACCGGACCTGCCTCTCCCCTCCCCCACCCCAGTACTGGGCTTTGGGTGCAGTGGGCTCCATCCTTGCTGCAGGTAACCAGCCGTGACCGCCCCTGTGCTCTGCACAGCTGTATTGCGTTGTAATTCCTTTCCCTTCTTGGATGAAGACTTTGAGACATGCTCTTTTTTGATGGCTTCCATTTTGCTTTGGTGTGACAAGGAGCCTGTTTTAAGCTCCAAACAAGAATTTACAGTGTGTAAACTCATTAATGATGATTCCAGCTTTGGAGAGTTGGATGGCCAGTGATATTTGCAGGAACATCTTAGTGGCTCCCCTCTGAATAACTTTTTCCCTAGTTTCAGAATCACCTGGTGTGCTTTTATGAGGTGTATTCAGGTAATGGAAGGTCACTTACCATGCAGCTTTGGGGTAGTTCCCATTGTCACAGTGAAACCTAACTGAACTGCAGTCTTTCCCCTCCTGCAGTGTGACCCTTGCTTGCAGACTGTCCGAGCATACTCAGCCTCCTCTAGCAGGCAGGGCTCTGGGCTTCCCAGCTGTGTCTTGTAGCCTTTGGAGCTGCTGGCATTCTGGAAGCAACTTGTGTCTGCAGCCTGTACATGGTGACAGCCAAGTGAGGGTATAGGAGCTCTTGTGTTTTCAAACATGGCTGTTAGCACTATTGCCATCACTTGGGATGCATTTGAGAATTTGGATAAGTTCCCAAGCTTGTATACCCCGGAGCTCAGTCGCCTGTAATTTGGCTTGTTAGTTTCTATGTAATGGCTCTTTGAAGAAGATTGCATTTTGTTTGCCTGGACTGTGCTGCATTCCTGCAGAACTTGAGTAACAGAATAGGAAGCACCCTTGAAGGAGGGGTCTTTGATTACAGTTACAAGAGGGGCCTGAGCAGGGTATTTTAGTGTAGCATCTGAAAAGCATTAGCAAGGAGATAGGTTAATAGTTAGGTTCCTCAATTTGGAGCAGTGTGTCTAGGCTCAGTAAGGTGGTCAAATGGTTTTTATTCTTGGTTTGCTTGTTGACTTAGGTCCTGCACTGTAGGTTTCGATTAGCAGACAGTTCTTCCCACTAGGAGTCTTCTGTTTGGAGCTGTGAACCCCTCTGCCTGCGTCTTCCTCACTGCCTGGTGGGCCTCAGAGCCATGGCAACGGAGGAAAAGAAGCCGGAGACGGAGGCTGCCAGAGCACAGCCCACTCCTTCGTCATCGGCCACACAGAGCAAGGCGAGTCCAACTGCAAGGGGCACCTAGGCTGCAAGATTCTTGGAAATACCTTTTCAAGCCCATCAGTTTATTCTCCCCCTTCAGTTAAATGTTGCCCATTTTATTTATTATGTCGGTTTCTAGGACATGTCCCCTGGGGAGGACAACGTAACTCCTTAGTCCTGATTGTAAGAGCCTCAGTAGGACCCAGACAACATCTGTTATGAAGCACCCCTACCCTGGTCCACAGTTCTGATGCCTAGGCAGGTTTGCAGACCCACCTGTAGATAGCAGGCAGAAAACACGACCTTTCACCAAGGGGGCAAGCCTTCAGGTTTGCTTGGGGCTCCACATGGGGCGGGGGAGGGGTGCTGACCTGGGGCTAGCAAGCGCAGGTGGGATGTTGGTCTCAGTGGGGTGGGAATTAGGATGGTGGATCCAAGACACTGAGGTGGGGGCTGCAGGAGAACTAACAGCTCAGATTTAGACTTGTTCAGTTTGAAGGGTGACATGCAGAGTTCTGGTAGGCATTTGGTACTGATTTGGAGCTCAAAGGGTAGGTCTGAGCTTGACATTAAGTTTTGGGAATCCAATCCAGACTGATAATTGAGTTGGTTATTTTTTGCTGATGGGTACTGTCTCTTCAACAGCCTGCACCTGTTAAACCAAACTATGCTCTAAAATTCACCCTGGCCGGCCACACGAAAGCTGTGTCCTCTGTGAAATTCAGCCCGAATGGGGAGTGGCTGGCAAGTTCGTGTAGGTATCAGTGGGACCTCAGCTGCTGGGAGGAACCTGGTATGGGGAGGGCTTGCTTTCTGATACCCCTCTGGGTGCATGCAGCATGGGTGTGTCTGTTAGCTTACATGTTTAACTATAAAGAAGTCACTCCCTGTTGAAATTGTGCCCATTGCCACCCTGAGTGGCAGTGGTCGGGGAGAGTGGAAGGGTACTGGCCATCCTGAGTGGGTGTCACGTGTTTAGGGTTCCTCACACTGTTCCCAGGGGCTCATATGGGAAAACCCACGTTTTAGACTCTGGATGACTGGACAACCTTGGTTCTTTGTTACTCCTTTCTTTCAGCTGCAGATAAACTCATTAAAATTTGGGGTGCCTATGATGGAAAATTTGAGAAAACCATATCTGGTCACAAGCTGGTAGGTATCAGCCCTGCACACTCTGGACAGTGTAGCTCCAGCGATCACGTGGGTGGGGCCCCTCTCCTGGGCCTGTCAGGTTAAGATGTTTCCTCCCACATTCTTTTTGGTAGTTATTTGCATCTTGGTTTTGTTTTTTTTTAATACAAGTGAAAGTTTATTTAGAAAGTCATAGAGGTAGAATAAGTGAGCCAACTGGGCTTCGTGGGCTCAGGAAACAAGTTACAGAGGCAAAAGAAGGGCTCTTGGAGCTTAAGGGAAGGAGAGGGGGAGAGGGAAAGGGGGGAGAGAGAGAGCAAGCAAAGGTGCGCACCTTGAGGGAAGAAGGGTTGGAAGGTACAGGTGCTCTGGAGAGAGAGAGAGAGAGAGAGAGAGAGAGAGAGAGAGAAAGGTACTTCTGTTTTTTAAGCAGATACTTCTGACTTCCCAGGATGAGTTTTTGTCCTCCTGTGAGTCCTGGCAGAGCCACAGAAACATGCTTTTCCTCAAGGCCCATGTGGTGTCTTCTGTGTGCTCAGCACTGGCTGGAGGATTTCCAGAGTGGGATGACTGCTTATTTGTCTTTAGTTGGATGTTGGGGATTTGACTTTTGCAGGCTAATCGCACTTTTTCCCATCAAGATGGTGATCCTTTGTTTTTTCTCCTCAGGGAATATCAGATGTGGCCTGGTCGTCAGATTCTAACCTCCTTGTGTCTGCCTCAGATGATAAAACCCTAAAGATATGGGATGTGAGCTCGGTAAGCCGAACTCTGGGTCCCCCCCTGGAGAAGCGTGTGTAGGTAGAGAGGGGTGTGGTGGGTGGAGCGCAGCCAGTCCCAGGTGTGCTTTACAGGTGGTGCAGGTTAGGTGTCGATAGCTCATCCTGACCCTGCTATCAGTCATCGGGAATAACAGTCTAACGATATTTCATTTTAGGGAAAGTGTCTGAAAACCCTGAAGGGGCACAGTAATTATGTCTTTTGCTGTAACTTCAACCCCCAGTCCAACCTCATTGTCTCAGGCTCCGTAAGTGTGCTGGCCTCTCCTTGGGGGGGCATGTGTGTGAGGGGCACAGTAGATGAGCTGCTCATGGGGGATGGTGGGCACAGTGGTGGCAGGTCTTGGATTCTGGAGGGTCTGTCAGCTCCTCTCCTGCGGAGTGGCTTTGATCTCCCCTTTTGTCTGTAGTTTGATGAGAGCGTGAGGATATGGGATGTGAAAACCGGCAAGTGCCTCAAGACTCTGCCTGCACACTCGGACCCAGTTTCTGCTGTAAGTCCCTCTGACCTGTGAACTTCCAGTCTTGGTAGTTGCCCAGCAGTAAAGGGTGGTGACGAAGACAGGCACTGGGGACCCTGGAGAATCTCAGTCCTGTGGAAAGACAGGTGGCTGTAGTATGTGTAGGGGGAGTGTCCCCAAACTGACCCTTCCAGGACGGGTGGTCAGCCCTGGAAGATGGGGCCATGTGCTGGGAAGTGTGACTAGGGGTCAAATGTGAGTTTAGAGTGGAGTTAATAACTCTAATTTATGGGTGGTGGCTGGAGGTGGGCAGGGATGGCCTCCGTCATGGTAAGAATGCTCGGCAGTGGGGGCCCCGTGAGCACCTGCTCCGTGTGGTCCAAGTCCTGCTGTTCTGCATGTGCCAGCAGTGTGCACAGTGAGCTTAAGAGTCAGCACTGCACATGAGGTCATTAATTGCCTCATTTAAAAAATGGCTAAACTATTCCTTTGTTAGCAAAGAGCCTGAGGTGGTTTCATGGCCATCTTTGCCTTTTGAAAAGTAGAGGGAATCCCGCGTAAACAGTTTGTTCATTGTTACTGAGCAGGTGTTCCTACTCACTCTCTAAAGTGTAGGGGACAGATTTTAATCATTTTTAGCCTTGGAAGGCCTTTTTACGCAGCTGAGTCTGCAGCGAGCCCTGATCTGTACAGGACGTGAGAGGAGTGTTGGTAAAGGCTTGGCCCTCGCTGGCCTAGAGTCAGCGCCCCCAGGTGGTGTGCTCGCAGGCCCAGCACGGTCCTGGTAGAAGAGACTCTCACAGGCATGAAGTGACCAGAAAATGAGTTGAAAGCATTCTGTCTGCGTTACAGTGGTCAGGGATGGCTGAGGTGGGGCCTTATCTTAAGGAGGGGTGTTTTTTTTAAGCCTTTGTTTCTTACAAAAGTAATGTGCTCATTAAAAAAAGGCAATGCAGCAAGTGTAAGGTCAGTCTCCTGAGCTCCCAGCCCCAAGGGTGAGCTGCCAGTGGCTGGAGTCTGCCCGAGGTGGCGTGGTTTGGTAAATATGTGTTCTCTAGCACGCCTCCGATGTTTAAATAGCACTGATGCTGCTCAGCTGCTTCTGCACCTGCTGGTCCCCCTTAGGAAGGGTCCTGGGCATCTCCTGTCCTTGCGAGTGACCTGCAGCCCCCAACCTCTGGCACTGCTCACCCTCTGGATGGTTGACACCATGTCACTCAACCCGATGGATGTGGATGCTGCTTTGTAACTTTCACTTTTACCTAAAGGATTGCAGTGGACATGTTTGAACAGCTTTGCTACTGTGTGACAGTTTCTGCAGGGTGACCTTGAGCAGAGGAACGCTGTGTCCCAGGACATATGTTGAGCTGCTTTCTAGTAGATACATTTTGGAGCTGGACTTCAAGGGTGCTGGTATTCTGCTGGCTCCCTCCCCATGCCTGTCCTTCCCCCCTTTAGTCCAGCCATCTCTCTCTTGCCTGGATTCCTCCTGTACCAGCTTTTTTTTTCCCAGTTGCAGTTGACGTTCAGTATTATTTTGTATTAGTTTCAGGTGTATAGCACAGTGGTTAGACAATCATAGTTTACAAAGTGTTCCCCAGATATTTCTAGTACCCACTTGGCCCCATACGTAGTTGTTACAATATTATTGATACTCCCTGTGCTGTACTTGATAGTCCCAGTGATGTATCAGCTTCTTAGCTGACATCCCCAGTCCATCTCATCCTACATCGCTTGCTCCTGTGTTTTTCCATTCACCCAGTGTTTCCTGCCTTGTGCTTTTGTATGAGCCCACTGTCTCCAGGTGTTCCCTCTGTAGAGAGCTCCGAGTGACTGTTCATCTGAGTTGAGACCTGGCATCTCCATTAGGCTCTGTCTTGTTGCCTTTTTCATTTCTTCACAGCACTTACAGTTTTGGCTGTCTTTTAGAATGTACCTCTCTGACACCGGAGCATTGGTTGAGTAGAAAACGCTTGCTGCTGCTAATATTTGGACATGGTTGGGAACAAAGCGTGGTGTTGACATTGCAGCTCATTGTCTAGTCTAGTGGCCCAATAAAAGAATATTTTGCAAAGTCAAAAAAAGTGGTGAACGTGCTTAGATTGATTTGCTGGGGATTATAAAGAATTCCTGAGGTGACGCACAGGTGGTGACAGTTACTACAAGAGTATTGGCTCATACAGCTGGTGTGGGGAGGTGGACAATCAGGAGACCTCGTGTCTGCTGGAGAGGCTCCTTTCAGAGCCACACTGTTCAGCACCCAGCCCACCAGCCGCCTGCGGCAGCTGAGCATGTGAGTCCAGGTTGAGAGGTGCTGTGAGTCTAAGATGCTTTCAGGTTCCAAAGACCACAGAGAAGAACGTGAAGTGTCTTGTTAGTAACCGAATATTGAGTACACGTGGAAGGAGTATTTCAGACATGTTGGCTAAAATCAAACCTATCAACGTAATGTCACCTGTTACTTCTTGACTATAGTTACTAGGACATTAAAATTGTATGTGTGGCTCCTAGTGCTCCTTGAGAGTCTAGACCAGTGGTGTCCATGTGTGGTCCCCGGTCCAGAGTGACAGCACCCTGGTGTGTGTGGGGAATGTGGATTCCTGGCTTCCAACCTTCAGGGCCTTCTGGTGCCAGTGGCTTTGCCCCTGGGGACATTGGCAGTAGGTGGAGACATGTTATGGTTCTCAAAGCTACATGTCACTGGCATCTTTTTGCATCAAGGACAAAGGTACGCTACCCAGCCCCATTGCAGGAGTTGGTCGAGGCATCAGTAGTGCCGAGGTTGCGACACTGTCCTGGAGGGGCAAACGGCCCCTCCAGACCAGTCCCAGGGCAGGGTACGTGGGTGAGAAGGCACTGGAGTCCATTTAGGGTGGTTACTGAGTCTGTGGGTGTTTCTCTCCTGAATTCTGTTGTTTTTGTAAAGGGTGGCCAGGGAAAGTCGGTTTTGGCCATGCTGGGGTCAGGCCGCCTTCACTGCTGGCAGGTCCACGGACAGGGCCTCCGGAGGCCGTGGGTCTCGGCTGGTTGTGTTTTTTCTCAGCACTGCGTTTTGTAGTAAGTGATGTAACTACTCAGGATGTGCTCCTGGGCTGGTTTTCTTTTCATGGTTCTGTCATCCATCGCAAAACAAACTGTGATCCTTTCACTGTGCTGCTCGTGGGTCTAGGAGGGGCCTCAGGAAATCAGTACAAGTAAAAGCAAGTGATGGTCGGTGCCTGTGCGCACAGGTAGGAGGGCCGTCCAGAGAAGAAGAGATCTGTGTCAATGGTTTAAAAGTAAGTTTTTTTCCCACTCCTCGCCCTCAGGTTCATTTTAATCGAGATGGATCCCTGATAGTGTCAAGTAGCTACGATGGGCTCTGGTAAGTGAAGTTTCCTCCCCTTAGTAATAGGTATTTGTGAACGGCACACTTCTGGGCTTATAGCAGTGGGGAAAAGACGGGGCTCTACCCTCTGGCAGTGGTGGCTGCAGACAGTGGACACGCAGCACAGCCTCAGGTGGTGGGATGCTGCAGAGGCAGACAGCTGGTGGGGTGGTAGGAGGGTGGCCTCCCCGCACAGGCCGAAACTAGACTGAGCGCCTTGTAGACACTGACATGCGCTTGACAGGCACCTGGGCCTTGGTGGATGGGGGAGGAACTGCTCACAGCTGAGGAGTTGGAGCTGACCTGCTCAGCGTCCCACTGAGGAAGTGTCCTTCCTGAATGGGTGAATCCAGACAAGTCCCATTACACTATGGTCAGGAGGCAGAGAGGACAGGGTCTCGGGCAGCACGTCCAGTTCAATCCCGGAATCGTGCTTGGAGAACTCTGAGTGCGTGATGCGTGTGTGCAGGATTTGAGACAGGATGTAAGTGGTGGGTCAGGGCAGGTGCAGAACGTTAGGTTGGGTTTGTAGGGACAGTGTCACAACACACTTGGTTATTGGGAGGAGACGTCATGGGGCAGCCACTGGCTGAGTTGATGACTCGGGTAAAACTTCCCACATGCAAGGGAGAAAGAAAGTGTGACTAGAAATTTGTTTGTGTTCAGCAAAAATAAAATAGGGTAATGTAAAAAGTACATGTAGAAGTACCACCAGGGAAGAAATGAGACCCCGATGTACTTGGTGTTACAGTAGTGGCTGAATTGGATGCATACCCGTATCAAAGGCTGTCAGGTTTGGGTTAAAAACCCTTCTGACTCCTTCGTTGTCTTCGGGAAACACCTAACACAAAGTGATTAACGACTACAGATTTGACATAAAGGATGGGTAGGTGGTGTCGAGTAGATAGGAAGCAAAGAGTGACATTGAGTGGGATTTAAAGATGGAGCGTTAACCAGGGGGAGAGTGACATGTGATGCACCCAGTATTGGAAACCCATGGCTACCAAGAGAACGGATACCTGAGAGCTGGAGTGTAGCACATTACTCTCAGACTGTGGCAGAAAGGGACTTGGGACTGCACGCTCCGTATGTTTGTGCGTGGAGACCGGGCTGCTGGGGCCTCCCCTGGGCCGAGGAGGCGTAGGGCCAGCCACTTCTCCTTGGTGGCTTCCCCTGTTGTGAACGTGCCACTTGCGGAAGAGGAACTGCAGCACACACGTGGTCTGTGTGCGTACAGTGCCTATACTGGGCCCTGCAGTGAACGAGACCAGTGGATAAGGGAAGCCTGGCAGTGAAAACACAAAGTAGGAGACATGTGTTCCTTCAAAGCTCGTGTTTGATTAAGAACTGCAACACACAAGCTTCTTGTTGTAATTTGCTTTTTAGCAATTTTTTGTTTTTGCTTTGTAGTCGGATCTGGGACACTGCTTCAGGCCAGTGCCTGAAGACACTGATCGGTGAGTGTTGCGCCTTTGCTTCCAGCTTGGGTGTTTCCTGCAGGTGACTGTGTTTTTTCCAGGGGACCCTGCTGGGCCGGCTGGGTGCAGGCTCTCCTGCATCACCTCCGCCCTCATTCCTCTGGTTTTCTGGCATGAGGAATGGCTGAAGGGAGGTGCAGTGGGCTCCTGGGGGGACTCGTTCAGGGTGGTGGTGTCGGTACCAGTGGCAGTGGCCTTACTTGGAGGGTCCTGAGCAGCAATGGGGGTGTTTTCCTTTCCTGCCCTGGGCTGAGGCCCCACTGCCCGTGCATCAGCCCCTCTGTTTCTGTGCAGATGACGACAACCCACCTGTGTCCTTTGTGAAGTTTTCTCCGAATGGCAAGTACATCCTGGCTGCGACCTTGGACAAGTAAGTGCTTCTGCCCCCTGACCTGCAGCATTAAAACCTGCAGGAGTCCGGCTTCTGGAATGTAGATGCTGGGCTGGCAGGGCTGTGTCTTGGGCTGAATCCATCTGAGGCAGCCCCTCCCCTGGCCCCATCTGAAGGAGTGTGGGACATGCTCTGAGCTGCTGTCTTTTTCTGCCCTGAGCACCTTGGTTTCCCCCAACACACTTGGGAGCATATTTCCCTGTCAACTGTCAGCTGTCAGCCTGACGTTACCCTCCTGTGGGAGCTCCTTGGGCTTTGGCTTTCCTGTGCACACGTTGGGGAGCCCTTCGATGAAGCCTTGCCTGGGCCCCAAGCTTGTTTCCTGCCTCAGCACCCCAGGAGGGGAGAGTGCTGCACTGAAGTCTGTTCTGGATGTTTCTGGGACCAGAAACCCCATGTCCCTTTCTAGCAGGAATGAGATGACCAGTTTAGGGAGCACCCAACAGCTTTCTTTAAAAATGTCTTTCTTTGAACTGTAAATATTTGGGGTTCTTGCGCTGTGCTCTGGGATGTTCTCAAATCCCTGGACTCAGCACACTGCTGGCACCTGCACTGGGAAGGGGAGGGCTTCCCGGCCTATCTTCGCTCCAGGTGTGAGAGCAGCAGGGGGCACAGTGACAGAAGGCCTCCTGGAGAGGCCCCAGAATGTGTGTTTGACTCCCCCCTCTCTGCCTTCCAGCACCCTGAAACTCTGGGACTACAGCAAAGGGAAGGTGAGCAGCAGGAGTCACTGACTGGGGCTGGGCGGTGCAAAGGCCTGGGCGTGGTTTTGGATGATGGTGCAGCTGAGCCAAGACCTGAAGCTTGGGGGACTCAAAAAGCCTTCTTCAATGAGTTGGTTTGGGACAAATTTCTCAGAGACTCAGGTTTCTGCAGCTTGCCAGTGATCAAGTCCAAGCTTTGAACATTCTGTGCTGTGGGTGTTTGGAGTGCTTTTCAGAATTCCGTTCAGCCGGCCTTAAAGTACTTGCACTCAGAATTGGGGAATGATCCAGAAGCAGGGAAGCCATGACTCTGAACGGACACTGTTGCCCATTCTTTTCAGTGCCTGAAGACATACACTGGTCACAAGAATGAGAAATACTGCATATTTGCAAATTTCTCTGTTACTGGTGGGAAGGTAGGTTTCTCGAGCGTCCTTCCCAGCTTACCCTCCTGAGGCAACCCCGATACAGGTTGGTACTCAGATGCTTTGTGTGCCCATGAAACAGTAGTTTTCTGTTTTTTTGGCCAAACCAAGTCATATGATACAAAAGTATTGGACACTCACTCAGAAAGGGGATGTCTTCACTCTTTGCTTCTGGACCTGGCCCGTCTTTTAAGTCAGGTCGCTGACACAGCTCTCCTGGGGAGAAGCTAGCTCGGGGCGGGCTTCCTGAGGGGCCGTCCTAACAGCCATTCCTCCCAGAGTGGGACCCTGGCCCTGCCTGCCTTTAGTCCAGGTAGAGTGTAAAGACAGGAGATGGTGACATTTAGCTGAAATGTAAGCAACACAGAAACCTAGGAAGAGGCAATTTAAGAAAGTACTTTATATCCCAAACGCCTGCCACGTGCGGCCGTTTCTCTGAGCAGTGCTGGGACGGCAGAGCTGTCCTGGCTGGGGGTGAGGCAGCCGTCCTGAAGGGGGCGGGGGCTCAGTGTCTCCACTCCCCACAGCAGTGGCGGGAGGGTGGTCTGAATGTGGGTTGTAAAAGCTCCGACTCACATCCCTTGTCGTCGTCACTTAGTGGATTGTGTCTGGCTCTGAAGATAACCTGGTGTACATCTGGAACCTTCAGACAAAGGAGATTGTGCAGAAACTACAGGGCCACACAGGTGAGCTCGCGGTTGGGGGCCACGTCTCGCTTGCCTACAGCGATAGTTGGGTGTTTCAGTGTTTGGCTCCTGGTTCTGCCTCTTTCCTGGGCTCTCTGGTGGCCTGGGGGACACCTGGCCAGGGCCAGGTCCTGGCTTTAACCTCTTTCCCTCTGACTGTCTCGCTGCCTGGCCTTGAAGTTTCGGGCTCTGTGGCTTCTCCATGCACATGGCCTGTGTGCGGGTCCCATGTCCAGAATGGTACAGGAAGTGAGGACACCGCTGTCTACTGCAGAGGCTCTGCGTCCTCTCAGGCTGTGACCGCCTGTCTCTGAGGCAGGCCCGTTCCTGCTGCCTCAGCTGTGAGGGGCTGCCCCGCCCATTCCTCAGCACCTAGGGTCCCCCTTCCTTTTTCCCCTCACTGGTTCCTCAGCATTTGAGGTGCCCCCTCTGCCCCAACTGCCTGCTCCCCTTTCTTCCTACACCTCACTTCTATAGTCTGTAGAGAGCGGTGTGTCCCTTAAAAAGCAGCAGCACCCTCTTCAGAATGGCTTAACCTTGGAGGGGTGGGGTACTGACAGTTGGCCTGCTTCTGGCATGGGGTCCAGCACCCCTCGGGGACAGCCTGGGTGGGTGCTCAGTGCTCATTCGAAGGTGTGGGGAAGGGCTCAGTTTTTGTAAAATCTATAAATGCATTAAGCTGACCCCAGATGTTAGCCCATGAGATATGCTATCCCTGCCTGGGGGATGGACTTGCCTCACTATGACAGAGCAGCCCCTTGGAGTATCTCAGGCCAAGTGGTGGTAGGAGGAGTGGGAGTGGCCTCTGGGCCCAGGTGAAAGGGTGCATTGTCTACGCAGAGACCACCTGAGACCTAGTCCTGGTGTAACCAGCCACAGTGCCTTGTTATCCCTGGGGCCTCTGTCGTCCTCTTGGGGACAGCATTCCAGCAGGCCATTGCTTGACACAGCATTCCAGCCTAGATGGGCTCAATGTCTCCTTGGCCTGCCGTTGGCCTGCTTCCTGTCCACGGGGCTATGGGTGTGTGTCGCTGTCAGTGGTGCCCTGAAGCCTATTGCAGTGTGCAAGGCAGTGGTCAGTGCCGGGTGGGGAGTGCGACCCTGGAATTGTGCAGCATGTCCCCGTGCCAAGGAGGGAGCTGTGTTGACTGTCTCTCGTTTTTAGATGTTGTGATCTCGACGGCGTGCCACCCAACGGAGAACATTATCGCCTCAGCTGCCCTGGAGAACGACAAGACCATTAAGCTCTGGAAGAGCGACTGCTAGGTCCTTGGGTGCCACGGGCGGGCCGTCAGGAAGCCGACCCGATCGGCAAGGAGCGAGGTGTCTCGGAGGGGTCCTCCTGGGTCTGGGCCTGGGGACCTGGGGGGGCCTGCACTTGAGCCTCCTCTGAAGACCATTTGGCTAAGAGGGAGTGTTACCACCAGAAAGTTCTAGAAGGTGACATTTCTTGCCAATTCCTCTCACATTGTCTGGGGAAGAATTCCTAGTCTGTATTGTGTTCAGTCAACAAATTTAATTTTTTATTACAAAAGGGTGAGGTGAAGTTCAGTTTATCAAGAGTTGTGTTTTCCCCAGTAAACGTTCTGTACTGTTTTTGATGTTTTATTACCCTGTGCAAGCGCTGTGACCAGTCGCCACTCTCCCAGCCCAACTTCCGCAGGGTCCCCTGGTCTGGCCAGTAGATGCTGTCGTGACACGGTCCCCCCTGCCACCCATTCCTGCCTGTAGTAGTTCCCAGTGTGTTTCAAAGTCTGGAAAAGACAAACCCCGTGAGGCTGTGTACGTGTAAAACCCTGTGTACGCAAGTCTGTGTGCCTGTGCTGATGGCATGGTGGTGGCACTCAGTGGTCCCTGTTTGTGTCCCCGGTGTTCACACAACAAGCAGCGAGGCTGTAGGAAAAGGTGCGAACTGCGCAAGGCGTAGCAGCTGACTCCTCACATTAAGCTTGTCTCCACTGCTTTTGTATAAAAGCCTCACAATTGGCAGGAGGTGAAAGGACTTGGTCAAGGGCAGGTGCCCCCAATGGCACAGCATTCTGACCTTGTCCTCCAGAAGCCTGGAGCTGCAGAAGACAACTCCCTGCACAATAATACTGTGTAAGCAAGGGGGCAGGGGAGGAACTCTCGGGAAGGTCTTAGTTAAAAAGAAGCCCAAGGCCCTGAAACATCCTGTTGAATGTAGCAGATGGCTTTTAGGGGCGGCTGGGGTGCAGGAGGCCCCAGTACTTCAGTTCCAGGCTTAGGCTCTGCTCTGAGGGGCTGGTGACCGTCCTCGATTGCTGGCTTGAAGACAGGCAGGCTTCTTAGAGTCCTCAGTGGCAGGGATTTGGGTATCATCCACCTGCCTGGCCCTCCCGGCCAGTCTGCCAGCACTGAGACCTTGTGTGGGGAAGGTGCGTTCTCACCAGGGCCTGGGTGTGCAGGTGGCTGATGTCAACAGTCTGCGTCTCAGCCCTCTCTGCCTTTCCTAAGGCCCGAATCCCCAGTTCTGGGGTTCTGGATGGTGCCAGATAGTGAATGAAGCCTTCAGTTGTATGGGGTGGCGAGGAAGTGGGGGCTGCCCTCAGGTCTCCTGGGAACCCTCTGGTGACCACTGTTGCACAGGGTGAGCATGACAATGCTGAAGGCATCTGGGAATCAGCTGCCTACAGGGCCCGTCCTCTGGAAGTAGAAGTGCTCGTGGGTTCCTGTCCTTGGGATGAACTGCTGCAGGAAATGGGTGAAACGCTCGGGGGCTGGGACCCACACTAGCAGCACATCTTGATAGAAAAAGCTAAGGTCTGTGTGTCGGCATCCCAGTGGCTTGGCTTTGGGGTTTCCCGAGAGACGTCGAGGTTCCTTCAGTTTTGTCGGTTCTGGTGTCAGTTTGCCCCTGGGAGGAGGGGTGTGTGCGGAGCACCGTATCCTTGAATATAGTGTATTTTTTCTACATTGGAATTCTTGGTTGTAGATTTATGTAAAAATACATTCTCTTTTTGGAAATAAAGATTTTCATGTCTTGTATTTTTGTCCCCTAAGGATTTTTTACCTTAACATGTAGCTGTTATGGGGGCGGAGTTGACGTAGACATTTCACTGCTGGGGCCTTGAATGGAAGGTCATGTGTTGTTTTTTTTAAATAGCCTGTATTACTATGAGTTATGTATTTGCACTAATTATAGACAATATAAACATATAGGCAAAGACAAGAAATCACCCAGATTCTTACCCATCTTAGGGAACACCTAATATATTTGCTGAAGTCAGAACTTCTTGAAAAAAATGTCCATGTGTATATACACACACACACACACACACACACAATCATTTTTTAGAAAATACTTTATTGATTTGAGAGAGAGAGAAACATCAATTGGCTACCTCCTGCAACCCCCTTACTGGTGATCTAGCCCACAGCCTGGGCATATGCCCTGACTGGGAATTGAGCTGGTGACCTCTTGGTGCGTGGGAGGATGCTCTATCCACTGGGCAAAGTCAGAACTTTTTATTACAGAGAATTTCATAGGTGAATGAGAGGAGAAGACCCTTATGTCCCAGTCCTCCAGCTCCAGAGATGGCACCTCCTGGTGTATGTGCCACTGCCGGTTAGTGTGTCCCAACATTTCATTATCTAACCAGCAAATACATAGAATCTCTAAAAGAAACTTCGAAAACATTACCACATACCATAGTCACACCTCAAGTAGTTTCCAATCAAGTATTCCCAGTTGTCTTAATATCTTTAAAAAAGTATGTGTGGCCCGGCCAGGCGTGGCTCAGTGGTTGAGCATCAACCTAGGATCCAGGAGATTGCGATTCAATTCTTGGTCAGGGCACATGCCTGGGTTGCGAGTTCCATCTCCAGTCCAGGGCATGCAGGAGGCAGCCGATCAATGACTCTCATCATTGATGTTTCAGTTCTCTTCCTCTCCCTTCTCTCTGAAATCAATAAAGATATATTTAAAAAAAAAAGTAAAGTATGTACACCTGGATGGTCCATAAAAACTTAACAAAAAGCAAACCAAAAAAGTATGTAATACATGTCCATATACACGTCCATGTGCACATTCATGTACACAAACATGGTTTGGACTGGTCCCAGCAAGGCCCGCCTGTGGTTGGTTGGTTGGTTGGTTGATCTCCAGCTGCCTGGTTTACCTCCCCCTGCATCTGGAGACCCAGGGTTCCCCTGCTAGCCAGGGGCTGCACCTGGACTCCCTGCTCCGTCGATGGTGCTGTGTGCTTTTTAAAATGGGTTGTCCATCAGGTTGGTTTAATTAGATAAACAACTTTCTAGGTCCTTAAATGAGCACTCCATTCAAACCTTACAGCAGTTTGTGCTCTGGACATGGAGGGGGGTTCCCTTTTCTGGGGATTTCCACGTGTAGGAACAGTCCGGCTTCACCTGTGAGGAAAGCACTGGAAGAAGCATGGTGTTGGCTTTGTGGGTGTGAGGCACAAATCTCCCGTGTGCAAGACTCCCTCAGCAGCTGCCTTGGAAGCAGGAAGGGACAGTGGATGCTGAAGGCCCAATAGTGATGCCCGCTCCTGTGCCAGGGCTGGGGGCCCCTTGGGTGAGACTGGGCTCACCACCCACCGGACCTGGGGTGAGAGCAGGAGTGGAGAGAGGGAGGCAGAAACTAGGTGAAGGTAAAATCCCGACGGGAGCGAATAAAAGGCACGCTTGCCAAAGGTTTTCCTCAACTGTGCAGTGCGGAAACCTGGAATTGTCGCCACCAATCCGAAGAATTCAAATACCGCATTGCATAGGAGACCGCGACACCAAAGTGAATTTGCCAGTGGGTTCAAAGCTGCAGGAATGGTGAAAGCCCGCAGGGCAACAGTCATTCCTCTGGGCACAGGTTTGGTATTTCTGTGGGTGACAATCGTGCCACAGGCTCCTTGCCGTGTAAGTTGTACAGTGGCTGAGACGCCCGAGGCGGCGGGGCCTGCACGGAGGGCACTGAGCTATTAGACGTCCTGTTCCTTTGGCCCGTGCCAGTTGCTGTTTTTCCTGCGGGACTGCTTCAAAAGGGGTGTGCGCGGGGGGTGCCTGCGGGAGGGGAGCACCCGAGCAGGTGAAGGCCCGCCTGGCCCAGGTGCGCGGGCGCCCGCCGCTCAGCCGGGGGGAAGGGAAAAAAAAAACGATGGTTAGATGCCACGAAGTAGGTGGCAATGCCTTAACCGTATGCGTGTTGTTAGGCCCGAGAGCCTCTTCCATCCTTGTCAAGGGGAGTGCTAACCTTCTCTCCTTTCATACAACACGGTACGAGCTGTCCGTCGTCCGCCATTTAAAGTCCTGGATTAGCATCACCTTTTGGTTATGGTGACTCCTGGTGCCTATTTCAGACACGGGTGTGAAAGTCATTCGCATGCTCTGGAGATCACAATATCCACACTAAAGCACCTATATTCATTTTAGCGGGTGGGAAAACACATCTTTTCCGTGCTCTAATATATTCATAAACCCGGCCAATCAAAGGTTGAGAGGAACACCCGGAAGTACTCAGCGTCCTTCAGCAAACTAGATTCCCCCGGAAACAAAATAGCTACACGCCTCCCGGGCCGGGAAATGGCTGGGAACTTTCTGCGGAAATGGAAGTGGTCTGTAGCGAATCAGAGGACGAGGAAGGAAGGTCGGCTCCACGGACTTCCGGACGCAGCCCCGC